TGGGCGGGGCACTGCCAACTCGTGGCCGCCGACTCGCGCGCGTCACGCCAGCAGCGCAAACAGATCTAACTGAGTTGATGAGCCCTAGCTGGCACGCTTTCAAACAATTGACATGACGCCGCTAGTCCTGGTGTGTAGAGCGAAGTTTGTAGAGTGATGCGGGGCGCCCCACAAGGCTGCCAGCGTCCCCAGAACAGCCTCAAATCAAACACAGCACATATCGATGATCCCAGTGCTATGCATTACAGCATCACGAAGGCAGGAAGGGCAGCCATTGACAACCGTCGTCAACACTTGCCCTGCTGAAAAACCGCAAGCGGCTGCACATTGCTGCACATTGCAATTGCGGTTGACGCTGAGCGTCAAGGCTTGCCAGTACGACGCCCTGTGACAGCTGGACAGAAAAATCAGATAGCCTGCGCCTCATACCCCGCACACGCCATCAAAAACCAAGTTCTTCGCATCCATGCAACTATATTGTAACGCGTCAATGCGCATGCCGCTAGCGTGCAATCCTTCAGCCTCCCTCATCTGTTTCGCTGGCTGCTGCGAGCAGGATTGGCACCCAGGCAGCAACCATGGTGCGGGTACGCGAGCAGTTCCCCTCCCTTGCCTCCATCGTCACCCTACATCTTGAGCTGTTTCCACTGCCGCTCGCTAGGACCCCGGTATGCCCGCCGCCTACACTCTCCTCCGAGTCAGCGTTGAAGCTCCCATACTCTCGGGCGTGGCCGCGCCTGGCGTGTCCACCCCACCGCCGGGAGTCACGGTCGTGGCGCATGTGGAAAGGCCGTCCTTCACAGCCGACGAGACGGCACCTGCGGAAAACGTGACGAGCATGCGAAACAGATGAGTGCCTGGGAGAAGAGGCATTTGAAAGGCCCCTTGCACCCCCACTGGCCCCTAGATGTGGCACATCAGCAAGCAGCACCTCCACCACGCCGAAATAGATGCCCCAGCGCTCGCACGCACCCAATGCATGTGCACACAACGCTGCGCCCCGTGCGCCCCTCACCAGCCGCCTTGCGCGTCGCGCCGACACGCGGGGGCCGCGGCTCCCCCTTGAGGTCCGCCACCTCATCTCTCAGGCCCTCCACCTCGTCCTCAATGGCCACCATGTGCCCCACCTGGGCGTACAGCACGCTCATCAGGCTGCACACGCCAGCGCAGGGCGGCACGGCACAGTGACAGGACGGGGGTTGTGGGTGGGCGGCAGGCAGGCAAGGCGAGGTACGAAGATATCTTCCACGCACAGATAAGCAGCACCCCGTTCCCTGTGCAGGTCTTTGCACCATCATTGAAGACAGCATTGAAGACAGAGCAGAGCCTTGCAAAGATGGCCTGCCACTGTCAAGCCCGCACTTGGCGTTTGCGTCGCAACATATCAAACACTGCAGGCACCGCAGCACCCTACCGCCCTCCGAGCCCGGCAGCCCTGGCGCCACCCACCACCACATGGTGAACCCCATGGCAGTGATCCAGAAGTTCCTCTCCTCGCGCCATTTCTTGGCCAGGAGCCCGATCTTGAGCTCCGGCCTCACCTCCGGGTCGTCAACGCCGTGGCCGCCCTTGTATGTGCGGAACGCAGAGTCTGGCGTGATTGAGAAAGAGATTGGGGCCGAGTGCCGGTTGGCGTGTAAAGAAAAGGTGGACAGGTAGGCAATTGCATTAGCATGAGGTGTGTGCAATAGTTGCAGATTTGACCCAAACCCTTGACGAATTGCATCAGCTGAGACGGATGCAATGTGGGCGTCACGCGTAGCAGCAGCATGGGGATCTGTTCACCGACAAACGGCAGGCCCGAGCCCAGGAGCGCAAAGTTGACCAGCTTGACGTTCCCCACTGTGGGAATGTGCAAGCGGGGTGGGCCGTGGTGGGGTACGGGGTCAGTCACGATAATCAGCTAGCACGCCATTTATTTATGTGTACGGGCCAGTCAGCCACATCATTCTGACAGCTCCAGGTGCTGGCCAGAGTACTGTACACGGGCGCGGTGGGGACAAAACACTCACATACATTGAAGTTCAGAACCTTGCTGGTAAACAAGAGGATGCCTTTGCGCGCATTGCGCGGCAGCGGCAGAACCAGCAGCAGCGTCAGAATCTGCGTCGCAAACGCACGCGATAGTAATCAAGGTGTTCACCCAACCATTGCAGCAGCTGCGACCAACCCCAGGCCAATTTGCAGGCGGGTGAGCGGCTGTTGGGTGTGCTGTGGGGTGATACAGGCAACTGCGGGCCGGTAGCCGTAGCCGGCCTACTCGCCAGGGGGATGGGCAGAACGAGGTTGACTAGAAGTGACCACCCGCTCAGGCTGTGCGACATGTTTGTGCCTGCAATCGTGAAAGCGGGCAAGGCGACGAGGTGGATGGCAAGATGTAGTGCGTCATGGCTTCTGCGGGACCACGACAGGTGCAACCCAGCTGCCAATCACTGAATTGCGCTGCAGCTAACTCATGGACAAGCTGCATGACTATGCAGCAGTCGAGACGGTTGGTGGTGGGACCTGTGTGACGCTGTCTCATGCATGCCGACGCGCCCCACAGGACGGGACGCCGTTCCCGCCACGTCTTGCCCACCAACTTCCATATAATCCAAGTTTTAGTGTCAGAACTCTGACGGCAATGGTGGGGTTGCCGCGTGGCCTCGAGCTGTCACACTCACACACTACCGTACTTTGAGATCTGAGCCAGAGACAACAGGAAATGTGCAAGTCGCGGTTACAACGCGCGAGTTTGTATCGTAAGGGCGCATGCACGACAATCCATCGAACTTGCATGCAACTTACCTCGTCAGCAGCAGCTGGACAGAAGCAGCGCCCTTGCTTGCGGAACCTGTATTGAGAGCTTACGGCAGGAGCACTTCCTGTAGTGTCCACTTGCCTTTGCTACACTGACAGCGCACCAATCTGGGGCTTGGGGAGCACTCTCGACCTGGCACACCACCATCAGCGTGCGCTTGGTACGCGCGGCTATCGCGTTCGCGCGCCTGAACGTACATCAGGCTCTTTACCCGTGAGGGCATGAGAGCAGCGCTGCGTTGCGCCGTATCCGCAATGCTGCAGGCTGTGCATCAGTTGGGCAGTCTGAGTCATGCGCCCAGTGAGGGCCTGCATGTTATGGCTCATTTACTTTCAAATATTAGTTAAGACAGGGCAGCCTAGCTGTGCATAAGCTTGCAGAGTCGCTCGCTGTGGTGCTGCACTAGGTGCCACACGTCTGCCGTCGTGTTGATGCTGTCCTGCAGGCTCGAGGCACCACCAAGCGGAGGCTGCGCTTTGAGAGGGAATCGCAACCTGTGGCAGTGGAGAGATCCAGCCGTCATGGAGCACGACCTGCTGGTGGCCGTGCTGTCGTTCCTGGCGCCCCGCGAGCTAGGTCCCGCCAAGGCCGTGTCATGCGCCTGGGCCGCAGCGGCGGCTGCAGCGCTGCCTGAAAGCTTCACGCGGCACTGGTGGGTGGAGTTGGCAGCGAATTTACGCTGGAAGCGGGTTGAAGCCAGCAGTGGAGTTTACGGCGAATCACGGATTGCTTCCAGCGCTTGCTTCAGGTGCATGAATCTGCATTTTGTTCGCATTGGCAACACCAACCTGCAGCCTCGTAGTCCAGTGCATTCGCTCACAAGCCCGCCGGTCATGCACTGGCGGTGTGTTCACCAGGCGGCTGGCGGGGTTGTCGGCGGAAGTGGGCGCCCCGCGCCGCCCGGGTTTTTTGGAGAGTGCGACGCTCGCCAGTTTTGTGCGGCTTCACAAGGTGGGGAGCGCGTTGCGCTGAGGGCTGTCCGGGTGTGGCTCAAGCCAGGCCATGGGCAAAACCCCGCCTGCAACGTATGCAGTGTGTTGACTTGGCAGTCTGCCGATGATGCAGGGACCAGCAGCCGGCAAACTGGTTTTCAATACAAGCAGGCAAGCAGGCATACTTCCAAACCCATGCGCAGGTGGCCCGGACAGACAGCTTTCTTTCTTTGGCGGTGCACTACGGCGTGCAGCCCACGGCGATCAAGCGCATCAACAACATGATTTCAGATCACTCGCTGCATTCGCGCATTTTCGTGCACGTGCCAGTCGCGTTTGCTGACGACCTGGTGGGCCGCGCGGTGCAGGTGAGCGCCAGGGGTGGCACTAGGCAAGCAACCAAGACGCGCTTGCATGCCCCTTTGCAGCACCCCTGCATGGCGCTGGAAGGCAATGTCCCAGACAGTGCATGACACTTGCAGTGCGGCTGTGTCCGTCCTAATCGCATAGCAGCACGCACTGAGGTTGCTTCTTGCCCTGCTGCACAGGTGCGCTACTGCCAGGCGGCCAAAAGGGACGTAGCCGTGCTGCTGGAGGATGGGGACGCGTGCTGCAGCAGCGACTGGGAGGCATACTGCGGGCGCGAGGCGGAGCTGCAGGTTGGTGTTTGCATCCAGTTGTGGTGCAGAGGGCACGAAGCGGGCGGAGGTGAGGTGCACCCCTAGGCCACCCACCACTGGGGTAGGGCGTGCGTTCGCGTGAACCAATCAAAACGTTTTTGCCCTGAGACTTAGAAGCGCGGCCTCACCCAACCCTGCCAGGCAGAGCAGCTGCGCGAGAAGATGAGCAAGCTGCTGGGCCGCAGCATGCGTGTTGACAAGGAGACCGCAGTGAGCAGCGAGATTTTGGGGGGGTCGGGATATTCAGTGTGCCAGGTATATCCAGCGTGCCGCCCTGGTATATGTGTCGCGGCAGCAACGGTGATTTCCTCGACTTACTCACATCGTTTATCAGGTGGAGCCAAAAACATGCACACGTGTTCGTGCAATCTCTCATGCACACTCTCTCTCTCGCGCGAGCACACACACACACACACACACACACACACACACACACACACACACACACACATACATGCACGCACGCACGTATCTATACACACGCGCGCGCGCGCAATTCGACCACTCTTGTTGGATTGATGTCGCCCTTCGCTCAAGCAGCTGTTCTACATCGACGAGGCGGGGGGCGACCTGAAGCGGGCCATGAGCTCAGCCAGCAAGGATGCATCCTGGGAGGACACCACCCTCGGGCCCATCAGGACGGCGCCACTGCAGCGGTGGATCAGCGGGGACGCCGGGCTATAGTGCGCGGTCGCCTGGGGGTCTGGTGCGGCTGCCAGAGCTGCCGGTCCAGAGCCTGCACATTGCCGCCGTTGTTGGGCATTCATCCGCAGGGGCGTCCCGCCCTGCCGCGTCATGCTCGACGCCGGCTGGCCTGCATTCACTCGCTGCTGCTTCTTTCCCTCCAGAAGAGGGAAGGACACCTGACTGCGGTGTGTCGTCAAGCCTGCTTAAGCGGGCTCATTCGCCGCAACGTTCCTGAATTCTTGTTTACTTATGACGGCCCCCTGCAGCGTGCGCTGCGCAGCGGATGCCACCGGGCCATGTATCACGAACAAACACGCTCTTAGCAAATCATGTTTTCGACGTTGCCGGGTACCCAGAGCGTTGTGTACCAGTCACTAGGCAGCAAGGAATGTGTGTTGATTACCTTGGCCAACATCACTCGTGTTTTCAACATTCAATTTCACGCATGCATTTGGGATGGTCAAGCACTTTACCAAGAGGTGCCTGCGCATCAAGTTTTAAAAATAATGCCTATCTAGAATCAAGTCCCTCCACGACTGCAGCGTAAGGAGCACAGGGAACACAGACTGGCCATCACGGACGAAGCTTCTTCCCTTGACAAACAGATATGTCGGTGATTGCTGAACGACTCAGAAATTTCGGAC